GTCAGAACTCTTGTTTTTCAAAACTAATATGGTATCAACACAACTTCATGAAATGAGTATAGGAGAATTTTCATATTTTTTATTGACTATAATCCCCGTCTCCATGTGGGATGCAATTTTTCGTTCTTTTGAAGCCCCACCCTGGCTGGTACCAGAGGCCCTAATATAACTTCACGGTTCAACCGGGTTTCCGGGACCTCTTCACGGGTGATTCTAATCCTCATGGTGGCACTATGTGTCACCGGATGTTTATCGCTCTGTGTGATGTTCTGGTGGGGTAAAACTTACTTACTTACTTTCAGACTTTGCTGTAAAGAAAAAAAAAAAGGGAGGGAAATTGGCGATACCAGCTTATTATTTTGTTGTCTTCGTATGGAATGTCAAATTAAAAGAAAAATGCTTGCAGGTCTCATTGTTAATATTGGCTTTCGGTGTGACCGGACCGCCGTAACTTAGAAGAAAAAAATTTCACTTTTAACTGCAAAGCCATTGACAGCTTTATTTGAAATCAAAACAGGGTGCCTCAAGGATGTCTTTCGTTATCTCTGCTATTATTGCTAACAATAGTCCGGGATATCTACACACACACACACACAAGCACGTACACAGACACACACAAGCACGCACATATACATACACATGCAGACACACACACAGGCGCGCGCGCGCACACACACACACACAAACAGGCACAAGTAACTTGGTTTAACTAGTTAGCTGTGGATGTCCGCGATTATTTAGCTTTTGAATTGTAAATATTTTTTTAATGGTGGTTTGCCGATTGCTACCGAACTGGTGATTAAAGACATGAAAGTTTCCCTACTTAATTTTTTTTTTTTTTTCTATTTCTAAACAAAACTACATTTATTGAACCGTTTTACTGAATCACATGATGTGTATATGGATTTCATCTTCCCGTAGCCTCATAATGATGTTCGATGACGGTTATAGTTAACATGTTTCCCGTTTGGCATGTACCATTTTCAAAGTATCAATCCCTAATTGGCTTTTAGCTCGTGTGTGTGTGTGTGTGTGTGTGTGTGTGTGTGTGTGTGTGTGTGTGTGTGTTGTGTGTGTATGTAGTTTTTTAAAATTTATATTGCCCACAAATTCCTGACAGTTGTCTAGCACTTTAATACTTAACACCTTTGTTCTATATTCAATTCATGTAATTCAGTTTGTGGTATCTTTTCAATTTCATTTTTTTTTTTTTTTTTGCACTTCGGTAAATAAGGTATAGTATTATGTAGGCAGTTAGTGCTAATATCAGTAACATATTATGTATGTTGGATAATGCAGTCATCAAGCTGACTGACTGACTGATTTTCTACCCCACCAGGACATCACACAAGCGATAAACACCCGATGACACAAAGTGTCATCATGTGGATGAGGATCACCGTGGAGAGGTCCCAGAAACCGCGTTCAGACAATTGGCCGTATTTATGGCCTGCCTATATTGCGGCCCCTGGCAAAAGCCACGGTGGGGCTTCAAAACGAAAAAATTTCATCCTGAAAGGGACGTAAGTTTGTCATCAAGCGACATCTTCAGTGTCCTTATAGTACTATTATCTAGTGACATATTTTGTATGTTGCGTGTAATCCAGTGACTCAGTATATTTCCATTTATACAGGAACAAAGGCATTGTGTAACTAAAGCTGCTATGGAATGACAGATACACATAACTGTCACATGAACAATACATCAAAGATAGGCGACCATCAATAGAGACACGATTATAACTTACATGCTGAAGTGACAGCTGCTCCGAAGAGAAACAATCCTAGATGCAAAATTAAACCTGCCATTGCCGTCACTACTGAACTACTAAGATGTACAGTAACCAAAACAAAAAAAACAGTTTTTACGTTAGCAAGACTAACTAAGATAAATACTTTACATTAATGAGAAGATTGACGATGATGATTAAAAAGCATTTATCATTTTGTGAAATTACTACTTTTAACTTAGCCAGCGAAACTACTTGTGATCACTTTATTGTATTGTTATCACACTACTTTGTGTTTGTTATCTTGTCATGGATATATCATTTCTGCTCGAACGTTCATAACGAATACTAACCGAATACTTATCGATAAGGACCTTACAGTATCGACTTTAGCTAAAGGTCATTGTGAATGGCTAAAATATCACACAGCTTTTAAATGAGGACATTGTATTTGTTCTTTACAACTTCGCTCTTCTGTCTGGCAATCTGTTTCCTTCTGATTTTGTCTATCTGTTATCTATTTAGAGTATTACCTAGGGAGTATGAGGGGATGGAAATAGCCAAACACGCTAAAACTGCTGATCATTGCAGACGATGTTATCAGTTATAATTTATTAGGCCACGTGTTTAGCTGGCAGCTCAGAAACGTGTACTCTAAGCAAAAATGTCAATTTCTTTTGTCAGGAAAAGGGGAGAGACAATTTGGAAACATGTGATGTTACCGCAGGATATAAACAAAAACATTAAGAAAAAAAAATTAAATCTATACATTTTATAAGATATACATAAAAATGAAAATATTTTCGAACTGTAAGCTGTCTTTGAATGTTTACATTGTGAATCTGCTGATGAAGACTGTCATTAGACAAAGTGATTGAAATGAATAATCTCATCCGTCTCACCTTTCCCTGAATGCTGAGCGTCGGCCACATCCCCTGGTATAGTTGTCATTCAATTTCGTCCTTTTTAAGAAGAAATTTTGTATCATTTGAAGCCCTACTCTGGCTTTTGCCAGGGGCCGCAATATAGGCAGGCCATACATATGGCCAAATGTCTGAACGCGGTTTCTGGGACCTCTCCACAGCGATCCTCATCCACATGGTGGCACTTTGTGTCATCGGGTGTTTATCGCTTGTGTGATGTCCTGGTGGGGTAGAAAGTCAATCAAGCACATCCCCTGGTTAACTTCTCGCAGCGAGATTCTTCTCAGACCGTAATGATCTATCTGCGCATCAGCACTGTTCACTTGTTCCCAAAGGGCCCTCACAATATCTAGCATGTCATATATCAATTCACCACGAAGTGATGCAGAACCGACCAGACTGTCTGCCTGCTCATTTCCCAACACACCGGCATGACCTGAAGAAAATATCCAAAGGATGCTAACTACCCGGGACCTCTGAAGTGATGCTTGCCACTTTGTTATGAACCTTCATGCACTTCGTCTGTCCCTCAACACAGAGCCATCTGTATAGATAATCACATCACCTGGGCGGGAACTGTCATGAATCATTTGTTGAACTTCTGATTAGGGTTAGGGTTAGTGTTAGGGTTGGGGTTTGGTTCGGTTTTGGGGTTAGGGTTAGGGGTGGGTTAGGGTCAGGGTTAGGGCTGGGGTTAGGGTTGGAGTTAGGGTTGGGGTTATGGTTGGGGTTAGGGTTAGGGTTGGGGTTAGGGTTGGGGTTATGGTTGGGGTTAGGGTTAGGGTTAGGGTTGGGGTTAGAGTTAGGGTTGGGGTTATGGTTGGGGTTAGGGTTGGGGTTAGGGTTGGGGTTATGGTTGGGGTTAGTGTTAGTGTTGGGGTTAGGGTTAGGGTTAGGGTTGGAGTTGAGGTTGGGGTTATGGTTGGGGTTAGGGTTAGGGTTAGGGTTGGGGTTAGGGTGGTGTTAGTGTTAGTGTTGGGGTTAGGGTTGGGGTTAGGGTTGGGGTTAGGGTTGGGGTTGGAGTTGAGGTTGGGGTTATGGTTGGGGTTATGGTTGGGGTTATGGTTGGGGTTATGGTTGGGGTTAGGGTTAGGGTTGGGGTTAGGGTGGTGTTAGTGTTAGTGTTGGGGTTAGGGTTGGGGTTAGGGTTGGGGTTAGGGTTGGGGTTAGGGTTGGGGTTAGGGTTGGGGTTAGGGTTAGTGTTAGTGTTGGGGTTAGGGTTGGGGTTAGGGTTAGTGTTAGTGTTGGGGTTAGGGTTGGGGTTAGGGTGGGGTTATGGTTGGGGTTAGGGTTGGGAATAGGGTTAGGGTTAGGGTTAGGGTAAGAGTTGGTTTTGGGGTTAGGGTTAGGGTTGGGGTTACGGTTTAGTTAAAGGTTGTGGAGAGGGTTAGGGTTGGGTTTAGGGATCGTATTAGGTTTAGGGTTGGGGTTAGTGTTAGGTTTAGGGTTGCGGTTAGGTTTAGGGTTACGGTTAGAGTTGGGGTTAGGGTTAGGGTTAAGGGTTAGGGGTAAGGATTTCCTCCTTTTTGGCTTACTTAATTTAGCACATGTGCATTACAATTGTTTCGCTCTGTGTTTTCATCCTGAATGTTCAGTTTTATGTTTGCTTAACGGGCATTGATGGGAATGTTCTGTGATGTCGATTGCAAGTTCAAAATTGAATACTGAGCCACACTGAAGCCTCCTGAGCGCTCCCCGTTTCTCTGTGTCAGCGTTCCTGCTGTATAAACAGTCAACAGATTTCAACAAAGTCAGTGCCAAAACTCTCGGCACGGTTACTGTTTTTAGTCGTAGCAGACTTTTTATCTTCTGACAGACTGTGGCTATTACATTTTTCCTAATTTGTACACCGGAAGATTATAGTTTTTGTCACTTAGCTACTGAGCTGAGTACCTGGTTCGACACTGTGAGCTGCGGATTTCATTTTGAATTATGTTTTCAATTATGTTTTTCAAACTGTAACCGATGAGGTATTATGAACTAAGATTCAGAAAATGGCCTGTTGTCAAAGAATTATTGGCTCCTTAAATGATTGAAATTGATCGCGTATGTAACTGCTGATTCCGTCGATGATGGTCTGCATTTCTAATGTCGGATTGATTGTGTTAGCAGTTCTGACAGCTGCTTTATGATTATAATGCGTGTGTATGCTAGTGGATAGGCTGAGACTGCACTCTGTGGCCATTTTTCAACAAGGGACGGTGATGGACATTTTGTGTGCTTTTTTGCTGGCACAGGAGGGAAGCAACTATAGGATGACCTATTTCTATGAAGCTGAAACTAATATTACTAGTACTATCAAACGCTTTTTTTCCTGAAGGTCAGTGGCCTCGAATAAAGGAAGAAGAATGTAGAGAGAGAGAGAGAGAGAGAGAGAGAGAGAGAGAGAGAGAGAGAGAGAGAGAGAAGCGAGATAGATAGATAGATAGATAGAGAGAGAGAGAGAGAGAGAGAGAGAGAGAGAGAGAGAGAGAGAGAGAGAGAGAGAGAGAGAGAGAGAGAGAGAGAGAGAGATAGAATTACCAGAGCTCTTGGCTTATTTTTTTTTCGTTTCGCAAGTTTGGGTTTTATCTAATTCCTGGGCAAAGATGGCGGCCTCCTTGAGAAAATTATGTGTTCTGAGGACTTTTATACGTAATACCATTAGTAACAAACGTAGTTTTATGTTTTTATAAGCATAAAATGTAAAACTGTTTCAAAATAGTAACATTTTGACAACTGCTACGATTTGGCGCATAGATTAATTGCTTTTTCTTGTTAATTAGAGAATTAGTAGGGTCGACGTGACTCGACTTTCATTTTGGTTTAAACTTACTAAACTAAAAAACTAAATTTCCTATCGTCAGAAGACAAAAACTGAAATTAAATTATCCACAGATCTCAAAGTAACGACTCATTGATTTACTTATGACTGAAAGTGACAGTTATCTTATTTTAACAATTCAAATAATAGGCTATCCCCCGAATAACGGACACATATATTATGGCGGCCCAAAACACACCCTAACAGGGCCTCAGTCACATGTAAAATACGGACTTTCGGCGACTTGAATTGCGAACTTCCGACGACTACCACCACCGCCGAGAGCATCTCCCACGCCACTACGCACGGCGTGGAGCGGGTCTAAACTAAATGGTTGGGGTCCCGAATAACGGTCCCAAATTATCGAGGCTAAGAAAATCCCCTAACAAGCTTCAGTCATATGTAAATTGCGGACCTCTTTCCGGCGACTACATCACATACCGCGTGAAAAGCTTCCGCCGAGTTAAAGTCACCGCTGAGAGTTTCCCCCGCGGAATGGGGGCTAAACTAGATGGCCGGGACTGACGAGCACCAGCTACCTCATCTCCTGCAACTTCCTTCATTTTATTTGCTTGTGAGTTCAAGCCATCTAGTTTAGCCCTCCTTCGCGACGCCATTGTGGTATAGTCGCCGGAGGAGGTCTGCAATTTATATAAGACTGAGTCCCTGTTAGGTTTTTTTTTTACCCTGATAATTTGGGACCGTTGTTCGGAGGATAGCCCATTTTATCATCTATGTCTATTAATTTTTTATTACAGAATTTTTTGAAAAATTAGAAATTTCACAAAAAAATGCTATCTCTGTCTGCATTACAAACACGCTTCATATTTATGTAATGTCAAGCCAGGTTTGATCTTTATTGGCAGTTTGGCAACAGAACCACCTAGCGTTTTACAACAGTCTAATCAAGAACCGACTGTTCAGTCAAGTGGCAAACTACTGAACATAAAATTGCTAGTATAGTACAATCATAAACAGCAATACAATGCTGGGGTTGGTTCCGCAGCATTCTATAAAGGATAGACAGCTGATTTTACTAACTAATGCAATTTTTGGAAACAGTCTCTTTTATCATTTATTTTCTTTAGTTTTTTCCTCAGGAAACTGCTGTTTAACAATATATTTGCAAGGTTCTAAGATCAAGTTTACATGATTTATATTGAATGCTTAAGCCACTTAAGAATTGTATGTTAAATCATCATAGATTAAAAAGCATGTTATTTAGTGCCTGTTGGTAAAATCTGTTGCTGGCATTAGGTATAGATATAATAATTTATGTTAGTGTCTTCTGTCAGATAAAGTATTCTGTGCATGTTTTCCTTCATGATATTCCATTTAGTCTCTAACCTTAGGACATACAAAGTCATGAAATAATGTAAAAGTGTGCATGTGAATGAAAATTACACATGCAGCAAATTAGAATAAGGCTTTATTTAGTCTGAAGTATGAGTTATTCACTGGTTGTATTGGTTTGTGTGTATGTTGGTAGGTGTGTGCATATGTCTGTATACATGAGAGAAAGAAAGTCAAATTGAGACTGTAGGGTGAATGATGATAATGCTGACTTAGATTGTATGCATGTTTCAATATCATCATGTTTCTATATCATCATGAATGTGTTGCCTTTTCTCAAATAGTTTTCTTTTAGGTGGCCAGTGATGCTCTACAGATGAGGTCTCTTTTCCAACTGATAGGTCTCCATTGACAGGACTCTGCACTTACTGGCAACACTAATGTTTTTTGGGCTACCTTTTGCCAAAGATTTTGCCTTCCTTAGCTTTCTTTAGTGGCTATTCTGATGATGATATGACCAAGGAGTTTTCTCTTGTGTAGTTCTCTCTTGTGTAGTTCTCCCTTGTATAGTTCTCTATGCAGTATGCTATGTTTGTTTTTGAAATCTAGAATATAAATATTTTTCGTTTCCGTCTAGCTTATTCTTGTTATACTTGTTCTTGATATATGTTTCATTTACATTTTGTTGATTTATTATTGTATTACGTGTGTGTGTGTGTGTGTTTAGTTGCATTAACAGATTTTGAACTAATTTGCCTATTTCAGCATTGAGTAATTCGGTCAGCCACATAAGGCCTAATGTTCATAATCAGCCGACATGTCCAGTCCGACAGATCTCTTGTGATCGCACGCTCTTAGCAAAGTTTTCTGATGCACACAGACAAGGTGAGCGAAATATGGGAATCAATCAATCTAAACTAAAGAACTATATCTATTTTCAGCTTATTTATTAACGTGCAATGTTCATAGGGGATCACAGAAGGCAGTACCGTGTCTAGGAACACTGACAGAAAACACATTTACATGTGCAGTTACAACACATTGTCACTTCTACCATTCAGTGAAGTTCCATTAATGCTGGCATATGATGTTTTGATGCTGAGCTTGCTTGAGGAATCATCAAGTCCTGCGTGTGGCTACATATCCTCACTTCCAGCTTCTGGGTCGGCAGTTTTCATAGGCTAAGCAACTTACTCTTTGAGTCCCAAGGAACACATTATACATTAAAAGGTTCCTACCTAGAGGCTTAATGAACATAATATGTGCTGATTTTACATCTCTCTCTTGACTACCCCTTGGGCCTCTGATGCTAAACCTCCTGGGACTCAAAGAGTTGAAGAGCAGCATGATCCAATTTCTGCTCAAAACTGTACGACTTCCCTGCAAAGAGGAATTTGAGACTCTAGTATGGTACTAACAGCAAACATTCCACAGTCTTCTTCCACAAAGAGCACCGTGTACTACATAAAGAACTTGACTTGGGAAAACATACAGAGTAGCATTTTTCTTTTGTTTTTCTGGAAAGTGGACATGCTTTGGAGATTCACCTTGTTAACAACAGTCAGGCCATATTATGTTTGGAGTAATGTTTATCTTTCTGCTGAATCTCAGATATAAACACATGCAGGAGACCCTCAAAGACCTCTTGCTCTTTTTTAGAGCTTCAAAAGAAAGAATGCACAGATGTCATTTAGGAGAATCAGATTTGAAACCTTGGTAAGGTGGAGGATTTATTCTTTGTCAGGGCCAATAATAAAATCAGAATTTGCACAGTCCATAACAACTATTAGCCATACGTGGCTAAATCTCAGGTTCAGAACCACCTGTCCACCAGCTTAAAACACAGCAGCAAAGTCAGTTTTTTAACGATTTCAAATTTTTTTAAAATATGATGGTGATTTGAAGAAAATTGTTATTTAGTAAGTCTTGCAATTGATGGAATTGGGACCTGTTTCTCCATGTGGCCTCTGAGGCTCCCATTTTGAGTGATAAAATAATAGACATCCCCCCCCCCCCCCCCCCACCCCGCATATGATAACAGTCAACTAATTAGGGGTTTTTTCTTTGAAGCTGGGGTATATCTGCCTGAAAGACGAGGAATCAACAGTCTGCGGATATCTGCAAAAAAATCATGTTCTGGAACAACACTGGAGTCCAGAAGTTGATGAACGAGCGGAACCTTTTGCCAGAGTTTGTAGCCAGTGGACGTGAAGAAGAAGAAGAAGAGCATAACCTGTTCATCATTTAGTTGGACAACTGTTTACTCACATTTTCTATTCTTCAGTTAGAAGTCTCATTGGGTTCATTAACACCCCTTGAACCAACTGATACCTGTATCAGAGTACAAGACATTCTGTATGCTCAACAGCCTTGACATTCCCTCAAGTCTGTGCTAGACAAGACCTTGTGTGGTGATGACTATCAGGTTCCTATGTGTCATTTACTACTATTCTTCAGGTAATAGCTTGCCTGATTTACAAGAAGAATATTAGCAGATGACAAATAAGAATATGATAATAATCACAACATGAGGTCTTTTCTATTACTAGTATCAGTGGCATGATGGAAGCATAACAGAATGTGTATGTAACAGTTTAACCTTCCTTGATTTCTTATAAATCATATTGGATTTATGACTGTAAAAAAGCACTATAATATTAAATAACTTGGCTTTTGATTTTGTTCAATATCCACAGTTGTCACCTTTTCCAGCATTTTGATTGTTTCTTACTTCTCAAATAAATACATAAATTATTCAGCATTTCAGCTCTACACCTTTTTGCCTTTTTGAACAGCTGCAGAAGGTAGTCTTCAAGTGGAAGAACTTGAGAAAGAAGCACAACCAAGTGTTGAATCTACCCTTTTACATAAAGATTACTTTGGAGTCAAGAAACTAGTCACATTGCAGGATTTGTTTCATGTAAGTTCACGTGACATTTTCATTAGCCGGATGACATTAACTTATCAAGCACTGTGTCGCCAAGTTCAAAAAGGTGACATTGAGACTACATGCCTCTGTATAATGAATCACTACTAACATTAAAAACAAAACAGGAACAATAAATTTCAGCCACTAAATTCTAAAACTTGATTGATGTAAACCGGAATGGGGTAAAATAAAGAGGGATTGGGGGGGGGGGGGGGGGGGGTGTGACATACAACACTAAGAATCATATTGTTTGTAAAAATAAATGAATATTTGTATGTATCTTGCATAAGATCTTTTGAAATCAAGGGTATTGCAAGAATGACCAGAATGATTAGGAAAATACATGAACATGTTTCAGTATCATATATAAATATATATAAATAATCTAAATTCACTATCAAATATTGAAGATGGGTAATTCTCAAACTGTACGCACCTTATAGCTGCTTTCAACCAAAATATACGCACACTTTTAGTCATACTATTCATTAAAATTGTCCATTGATGTAAGTCATTTAAATAAAAATTTTGATTGTTTTGTTTCATTTTAATATATCTGCAGAAAATATAAAAATAGTTTTTTTTTAATTTGATAAAAATGGTTTTTTAATTTGACTTTGTTCAATAATACATTTTCATGTTTATGATATTGAATTTTGATACAAAGGACCATTTATTTGAATGAAACAATATATGTAGTTCATTTGTGGAGTTAATGTTAGAGATTGGAGCAGCTAGAAAAAAGTACATAAATGATGCTAATGAATATGTTGATAGGTTAACAATAAATGGGTATAATTAGTCTTCATTTGCAAATGCATTTAGTATGGAGATCAAGCACATATAGACATGATTATGTGCACCAGACAAAGCAAAGTAGCCAATTTTAATTTTGAAAATCTTATATTTTAAATATTTTGACATCACTGTTAAGAACACATTCAAGAAGGTATGCGTGGCGTCATGTTTGTAGGAAAATATTCTCCCATACTATCTACGCCTTTTCAGGATGTGCTTCCTTAGCCCGTAACCAACCAAGGCCTGACCACCGGGCAGTGGTAGTTTAGTTTCAGAGCATCCTTCTCATAGGTGGGCGGCTGTTCCCAGCTATCGGGTCCCACCTACTCGACGGAAATGCCCAATTAAATTTTGAACAGCATCCTGTGTTGGTGTGGCAGCGCTTCACCAGCCCGTTTGTATGCCACCGTGCGTACGCCCACAGGACAATTACTGTCTAAAATGCCATAAATCCATGAGGCCAGGTGAAACACAATCGGGCCTGTTTGTGCCCCGTTGGCAAAAAAAAAACATCTGCTGCAGAAAACCTGTTATAATACACTATATTCTACTTTTAACGAATTTTGATCTACAAAGTCACACAAAAACTATTTCATAGTAAGCCCGACAGAACAATGGTCACGATGATATGAAAATTATTCTCAGATCTCCGATGCAACAGGGCTAAAAATATCGGCTCTCCTCCGAACTTCGTCCTAATATTATGGTGGCCATAAAATATCCTTACGGGACTCAGGCATATGTAAAATGGGAACTTTCTGCCAAGGAACAAATCGCGGCAAAACTAGGATTACTTGACAGTTTCAAGAGACGCAACATTGCAAACGATAGTAGCAGACGATAAAAGCGACCGTCGACAATTTCCAGCGTTTCTGCAGACGATAATAGCGACTATTGACAATTTGGAGACATTACAGGCGATGAAAGCGATATGGCGGGTAGACCACGCGCTCCCACGCAGATTAGCAATACTATTCGTCCGATTCAGGATTTAGCAGCGGTAGATGTCACACCTGCCGACCTGTATCCTCACACTTTTCGGCATGCGCAAAATGCAATTAAACTCACCACTGAGCGTTTCCCCCACTACGCGCGGCGCGGATGGGTGGGCTAAACTAGGCGCCTGGGACTCATGAGCAAATTAATTGGAGGAAGATGCAGTAGCTGCTGCTCGTGAGTGCCAGCCATCTAGTTTAGCCCCCATCCGCTCGGCGCAGGAGATACGGTTGGCGGTGAGGCACAGTCACAGAAACAGGTCTGCAAGTAACATATCGCTGAGACCCTGTTAGAGCATTTGTTTCGTTATACGGAGCCGGCATATTTTTAATAGAACTGAGCTTCGTAAGGATATTTTATGGCCGCCGTAATATTAGGACGAAGTTCAGAGGAGAGCCAAAAATCTAAAAGGATGAGAAGCGAGAAAAACATGTCCTATCCCTTAGGTCATCATAAGAAGAAGTAGACTGTTAAGAAAACATTTTGTATGCAGTCTGTTTAGCTTAATAGCAAAGTTCAGTTGACAGAACTTTGAGGTTAGGATGATTAGACAGATATTGGCGTGCGGTGAGTTTCAGAGATATTTTGTAGATAAATCTCAACTAGAGACTTACCGTAGATGTTCATACTGAACAAATAACTGAGATAGCAATTGCAGTGAGATGGGAAATACAAGCCTTCAAGAAAAGGAAGACAAAGAGAATAAATATGGTACAGTTTGTAAGTGGCTGCATTAGACCTTTGGTGACAGAAGCAGGTGCAGTGAACATCAGTATGTTGCAATAACAAAAACACCTTTCTATATACCTTGAAGACAGTCCTTAAATTTGTGATCCATGTGAAGATATCAGCTGTCTAGTCTTGTTTGAAAACACTGTTTAAATGAAATATATGGTTTGATATTTAAAAAAAAAAAAAATTTAATTTAGTGCTTCTTGAGTCATTTAGGAGATGGAGCTAATGAAATGTACCATCTGGTTTCTCTGACAATGTTTGAGCATCTGCTGTATAGAGAATGTTAACTTTTGACTATAGAATAGACAGAGTCCTGTTTCTGGGCATGAGACACTGCTGTTCTTCCATTTTGAGAGCACTGTATAATGTCAAGTCTTGCCACAATAATAAGATAATCTGCTCCTTGTACAGTACAAGTAGCTGTGAGGTCATGACTTGTCATACAGTACAAGTAGCTGTGAGGTCATGACTTGTTGTACAGTACAAGTAGCTGTGAGGTCATGACTTGTTGTACAGTACAAGTAGCTGTGAGGTCATGACTTGTTGTACAGTACAAGTAGCTGTGAGGTCATGACTGGTCGTTCAATACAAGTAGCTGTGAGGTCATGACTGGTCGTTCAATACAAGTAGCTGTGAGGTCACGACTGGTCGTTCAATACAAGAAGCTGTGAGGTCATGACTGGTCGTTCAATACAAGTAGCTGTGAGGTCATGACTTGTCATACAATACAAGAAGCTGTGAGGTCATGACTTGTCGTACAATACAAGTAGCTGTGAGGTCACGACTGGTCATTCAATACAAGAAGCTGTGAGGTCATGACTGGTCGTTCAATACAAGTAGCTGTGAGGTCACGACTGGTCGTTCAATACAAGTAGCTGTGAGGTCATGACTTGTTGTACAATACAAGTAGCTGTGAGGTCATGACTTGTCATACAATACAAGAAGCTGTGAGGTCATGACTTGTCGTTCAATACAAGTAGCTGTGAGGTCACGACTGGTCGTTCAATACAAGTAGCTGTGAGGTCATGACTTGTCGTACAATACAAGTAGCTGTGAGGTCATGACTTGTCGTACAATACAAGTAGCTGTGAGGTCATGACTTGTCGTACAATACAAGTAGCTGTGAGGTCATGACTGGTCATTCAATTCAAGTAGCTGTGAGGTCATGACTTGTCGTACAGTACAAGTAGCTGTGAGGTCATGACTGGTCGTTCAATACAAGTAGCTGTGAGGTCACGACTGGTCGTTCAATACAAGTAGCTGTGAGGTCATGACTTGTCGTACAATACAAGTAGCTGTGAGGTCATGACTTGTCGTACAATACAAGTAGCTGTGAGGTCATGACTTGTTGTACAGTACAAGTAGCTGTGAGGTCACGACTGGTGGTACAATACAAGTAGCTGTGACTCATGACTTGTCGTATAATACAAGTAGCTGTGAGGTCATGACTTGTCGTACAGTACAAGTAGCTGTGAGGTCACGACTTGTCATACAGTACAAGTAGCTGTGAGGTCATGACTTGTCGTACAGTACAAGTAGCTGTGAGGTCATGACTTGTCGTACAGTACAAGTAGCTGTGAGGTCACGACTGGTGGTACAATACAAGTAGCTGTGAGGTCATGACTTGTCATACAGTACAAGTAGCTGTGAGGTCATGACTTGTCGTACAGTACAAGTAGCTGTGAGGTCATGACTTGTCGTACAGTACAAGTAGCTGTGAGGTCACGACTGGTGGTACAATACAAGTAGCTGTGAGGTCATGACTTGTCATACAGTACAAGTAGCTATGAGGTCACGACTTGTCGTACAGTACAAGTAGCATTAAATCACTCAAAATGTGAGTGCTAATCTCTTCATGTTTAGTTTTACATCCTATGAGCATATTCTTGAACATTGTCTGGCATATTTACATTCACCTGCCACTTGGCTTCTGCCGCCATTACTTTTAACCACCATTTGTTGCAGTAATCAGGACTTTACAGTGTCCTATGTTTTGCATGTTCAGTAGCATTTGCTATTACCAGTGAAAACGGAGCAGTTTGAAACTTGTTTTAGTGACCAGTCCCACGCAGCGTGTTGTAATTTGTTGTGTTGCTGGGTAAAACTTTGATTAATCATCATTCCTTTAGTCATCAGTTTCTATGTCATCATTTTTTAAAAGTGCGTACCAACAAATAGACAGACATCTTTAAAATTGTCCACGGATTATTTTGACAGCCTCCTGTATAAAACTGGAAGTTACTACTGTATAATGGTCAGTTAGTTCTCGTCATCCCATTGTGGGATGCAATTTTTAGTTATTTTGAAGCCCTACCCTGGCTTTTGCCAGGGGCCCCAAATATCGCCGGGCCTGAAATATGGCCAAACGGCTGAACAGGGTTTCCTGAACCTCTCCACGAATGATTCTTATCCACATGGTGGCACTTTGTGTCACTGGGTGTTTATCGCTTGCGTGATGTCCTGGTAGGGTACAACTTACATACATACATGTATGATGGTGGAAATGACTAATCATACGTGGCGAAAGAGTTGAGCTTGATCTGTCGCGCCACAAGCTCATCTGTTTTGTTACATACTGGTGTGTCTTGCTAGAGTAGCCTGTGTGTTTGAATGAATGTTTTATTTCATAGTGCCCTCGTATATAATGTATCATATATTGTTTGTATTATATATTTCATATATAATACATACAATGTGTATGTATTATTAACTTTAAAGGATTGTATTTACATTTTTGTCCCAGACCCGCAGTTAAATCACGTTACTGTACAGATGCGTTAAAAGATTTATGTTATCTGTCTATTTGGTTATCCATCACAGCCCTGGTCGGACGGTGACAGTTAATCAAAGTTTTACTGAATCTCTTAAATGCAGATTTATAACAAATGTCACAAGTCTGGTATTTCAGAGCGGAATTTAATTTGTTTTTAAATAATAGTGAGATTTTGTGCAATATCTTGGCATCTGCTAAAGCCACCATGATCTTTGCTGTATTTGAGAAGCTATGAAAGCAGTTATTTAAAATGTATACATTTTAATTTGCAGGCCAGAGTCCATCTTGGTCACAATGCAGGACTTCGTCATGTTTCCATGACACCTTTTATTTTTGGAGAGCGCCAGAGTGCAGACATAATCAATTTAGAACACACATTACCTTTGCTTCACCATGCCCTTAATGTGTTTGCTCATATTGTGTATCGTGGGGGCATTGTTCTCTTCCTGTCGCGGAACATGCAGATACTTCCATGGGTGGAACGTATGGCTAAAGATGTTGGAGAGTATTCTCATTGCCGGCCATGGAAAAGAGGTAAAATTAACAGTTTTATAATATTAGTGGGTTGTAACTTCTTCATACCTGGCATGTACAACATTGGAAGTTATAAAATGTCATGCCGGCTGTAAACCATCTGAAGTAATTCTTTTTGCCACCGTTTACATCAGAAGTTGTACTTTTTCGTGCTGGCTATAGACCATTTGAAGTTATAACTTCTTTATGCTGGCTATTGGCCATTTGAAGTTATAACTTCTTCATGCTGTCTGTAGACCATCTGTAGTTATAACTTCTTTATGCTGGCTGTAGGCCATCTGAAGTTATAACTTCTTCATGTTGTCTGTAGACCATCTGAAGTTATAACTATTTTTTTTGCTGGCATGTACAGCATCAGAATCGTGGCAAGTTAAACAAGTATGCTAACTGAAAAGGTGTTAATAACCTGTCTTCTACATGGGTGTGAAGTCTAGATAATAAGTGAGGAAGAAATAGGAATTATTTATTGGAGCTGTAGTTTTTTTAAAAGAATACTGAAAATATCATGGGCAGAGAAGAAAATCAGTGGTAAAGTTCTAGCATTTGCATGTGTAGCAGAGTAACTCATTAAAACTTCAAGAAAAGACAAAAGAAAATTTATTGTACATATCCACAGAATATATATCCTTAACAATCGTTTTGAAAAAATAAAAAAGTGACTGCCTTTTTACTCAAGTCTAAGGGTGCAAATATCACAGCCTTTGTTTTTTTTTTCAAGGTTAGTTGCGTATCCTTTACAGGACGTTGCAGAACCAACCTCAACTGCCCCTGGCTGTTGTGTGGTTTTTCTAGGCAAATTTACGTCTAGTAGTTTGTCATTGCTTTCTGGACGGTTGGCTTTCTTGATACCACTGTCGAAACCAACGTAAGGCGCGTGGCCCGCAGCTGGGATCAAACCCGGCATTACGAAGCGTTCGCATTGACTTAGCCACAGAGCTGACATTTTCTTTTTTTCAATAGTGAACGCAAAAGAAAGATATTGAATGACTTTCAGCCTAGTAAAGGTATTGTCACATGTCATCCCTGTCTTCATCATGTTCTATGCTTACAAACGTGGGGAACAAGTTTTTCTCTAATCTCATCATATGCAAGGAGTTTTGACTTGGGACTTCCAGTTTCTTTCATCAGTTTACAGTGTCTATTTACTGCTGAAATAAGAGCCCCATTTGTTTTTCTGTCAATCCACCACATTTTTTACAATTTTTCTTAGAGACTTCATCTTAACTGCCACTAAATGTTCTTTAGCTTCTTTAACTTTTTAAAAAATCTCGGTGTTTTCAGCAGTACAAATTTAGTTGACTGGTTATTGCTGCTGTAGCCTGTTGGTGCTGTAGCTTGTGGCTGCTGTAGCCTGTTGGTGCTGTAGCTTGTTGCTTCTGTAGCCTAGCCTGTTGTTACTGTATCCTGTTGGTGCTGTAGCCTGTTGCTGCTGTAACCTTTTGCTGCTGTAGCCTGTTGGTGCTGTAGCCTGTTGGTGCTGTAGCCTGTTGCTGCTGTAGCCTGTTGCTGCTGTAGCCTGTTGGTGCTGTAGCCTGTTGGTGCTGTAGCCTGTTGGTGCTGAAGCCTGTTGCTGCTGTAGCCTGTTGGTGCCATAATCTAGTATCGTATAGCAGGGCTGTTCTATTTGTCTGAGCTGAGGTGAAAAACTATGTTTTGAAGGTAGTCATGATGGTAATATTATTGTCATTTGCAGGAACATTCACAGATGCAGCAAACGTGTTTGGAACTCTGCCCATCTACCCAGATGTCTGTGTCTTTTTCAACACTCAGGATACAGTCTTTGAAGTTCACAGGGGTATTGTGGAGTCAGCAAAACTTCTGGTTCCAACAATTGCAATTGTAGACACCAACTGTGACATCAGTAATGTGACGTACCCTGTGCCGGGAAATGATGACAGCCCTGCCTCTCAGCGTCTTTTTATAGACCTCTTCAGAAAAACCACTCTTCTGGCAAAGGAGAAAAGAAAGGAGGATGGCCTAGTTTAAATGGGTGGAACTTTATTCATATGGAATTTCACTACATACAGGGGTATGTTTCTAGTGGACTGGACAAGTGAATTTCTTTTCAGGAAAGCAGATATAGTAATGTGTTGTGTGCTTTATTATTATGATTGATGCATTTCTTGGGATGCAAGTAAATGCTGACACTTATATCATGCAGATTTTATTGTGCATTGGTTTTATTTATGTCACTTTTCCCTCTCCTACTGGCTTTTTAAGTGTGTATTTGATGTCATTATAATATGTTTATAACGCATGACTCTTTACAATACAAACATCTGTATAGACTAAAAATTTATACATGCCCCGTTTTTCTGACCGTGTAATGTTGTATGAAACAGTCAGCATTTACATATCAAGACATTTGCTGAGGGGGAGGGAGCATCCATGGGTATGTCTGGTATGCTCTATTGATTCTTGAATCAGCAGTCAGTTGTCTGAAAGCTAGAACCTGCATGCCACATGAAGGTGACAGTAAAATGTTGGGTGGTATATAAGGTATATTTTACTGTGCCCATTTTGTCTTGGCCGAACTGGAATTTTTTGTAGTCCATGTTATTGGTTAGTTAATTTGTCTACAGATTATTCTCATTGCCGTCTAACCATTCAGTTTATAATTGCTCAAATCTTCTCCTCAGTAAATCCTGCAGCATTTATCAGCCTACTGCTCTCTCTCTCTCTCTCCAATTTTGGTTGCCTAATCTTCTTTGGCTTCCTACATAGCGCTCTTGTCCGGCCACACTTTTTTAAACATATTGACATTGCAGTCTGGTCATGGTTGCACATTCACCATCATCACTTGGTTTATGCAAACGTCTGACTTCTCATAGAGATTGAGAATACCCTCCTGGTCCATGGCTCGGCTGCCCTCCACAGTAGCTTTACCTGCAAGCCTATTGGCTAGCTCACTTCAGTGCAGGCCTGCATATCCTGGCACAAATATGAAACTGATAGTCATCAACTCCGACTGCTTCAGAGACTCCGACCACTGTCTTTGGACCCATCCCATGTCTGTCTTCCTGAGAATACTGATTAAGTTACTAAAAAAGCTTGCATGGTTGAGAGTCTGTGTCTCCAGCCATGTTATTGCCTTGGTCTCTGCCATGACCTCCAGTCATACTACTTTTAGTCTAGGTAACAAGACCAGAATCTTTCTTCACAATTTTATCTCTGTCCTGAGCCGTAAAAACCCACAGGCTTCTTACATGGCAAACCACATACCCATCTATGTAAATGAAAGAGTTCCCAACTAGAGAATTCTCGAAGATCAAAGCCTGCACTTCTACCTCCACCGCGGCTGGACTTTCTTGTCTGCATTTTCTGGCTAAATCGGATGCAAACAGCAAGTTGTTATTCAACGCCTTAGAATAGGACACCGCCAACTTCGCAGCCACATAAACACAAATTTGAAATCGGTGAATTAGCCATGTGCATATGTAGATTAACACCTGAGGCAACAGATCATGACCTCAAAGACTGTCCCAAATACAATATATCAGGTCAAAACTGTTGGCCAAATGAAACACCGATGCAAACCAGACTGCAAGGATGGCTGAGTGAATTACAAAAGACAGTGGGGTTCATTCTAGAGACATCACTGCAGATATAGATAGTCTATTTCAAGCGAACAAAAAAAAAAAAAAAGAAGAAGATGCAAACAGAAAAGGTCATACGGTACTCTGTTGGTACTTGTACCCATTCCTCACCAGGTTCTGTGTCGTCAAGTGAACAAACCTGCTGAATAATGTTCTCGGCCTGACCCATCCGCTATTTTCCTCTTTTTAACCTGCTGCCTTTTTTATTCTTAATTTCACTATGCAACTTGTGCCGTGTCTGCATTAACTCTTTGACCTGCTCAGCAAATGTGTATTCTATCCTTAATGGCTGGAAAATCAAGAGGGTGGCGCATCCCCTTGCAGGATGTATTTGTTGTAGACCCAACTATGATCCTTTCCATCTAATTATCACTAAGAGTCACGATCGGCGTCGCTTACTTAGACACAAAGTCGTGATGTAGCTTTGATAAAACAAAATACACCAGCACATCGTCAGCGTCTTTCCCTGCCCTGCTGGTCGCCTGTGATTCTCACTGGGCGAAACGTGCAACAGCACGGGAGATGTTATCTCTGTGGCAGGTCGGTATGTATAGTTGTAGGTTCAGAAGACCAACTACCACATCTACAAATTACTACTACTTGAAAGAAGGCTGCTGGGAAGAAGAAAACTTGTTGCTATTGATATAGGTCATCATATCTTCTATCTTGTGTACTGCCAAACATGTCTTATACATACATTCCTCCATGCGTCGGTGAGCAAGTTTGTAACCTTCCATCTTTTGATCTGCACCTATTTCCTCTTAATGTCCAGTTGTCACGATGCACTCCGAGTTTGCCCCCTTGAATCCCTGGGTATGTCCACAGAATGTGGGTTATCCTTGTCTGTTGTGGGTTGTACTCTTTAAGAGTTAATTTAAAAATAAAAGCAAATTTGAGGTGCTGATAGAGTTTAAAAAAAAAAAATCTCTTCATCCCAAAACATGATACCTACAAAATATACCAGGATCACAGAAAATATTTGGGATTAATTACGGACCCTCATCTCCAAACATACCGGTGTAGAGTGGTGTAGTTTTGACTCTTTCAGTTCCAAACAATGCTTGATTATTTATCAGCTCACCTTTTGAATGGCAATCGTAACAATAATGCACCCGTGATTTTGTCATTGGTTGCCACTTTGGACATCTACTAGTCAACTGTTCAAGGATTGAAAGAGTCCACGAGAAAAGTAGTGTGCGTGATAAACTTCAGTAATTTAATAGCACAATAACAGTTGCAATAGTCAGCTAGAATTTTGTTCAAGTAAATCAGAACAATACTATGTGAAATGCTATAAAAGCATAGGTAATTGTGGTTGGTTACCTTAACGTGATAACCAGATTCAGGCGTCAGGTCTGTGTTTTGGCCAAGTCACAGGCCCAGAAACCTCGAAACTCGGGCTACCTGAGCTGCCCCTCCCCAGCCCAATTTCTTTTTTTTTTTAAAGGGAGGGGGAGGGGCCTGACGCCACGATGCTAAACTACATGACACAGCGGCAGCCGAATATACACCTTAGACGTGGGTGGTTTAAATAAGAGGCATAACTTCCCTGTTCCCCATTCGAAGTGCACTGGGGGAGGTTGAGTGTTTTGATCGTAGTTCTTCAGTATAACATGAAGCCTAATGTTGTTGTAATGACCCTGCTTTGCATGGTCTCCACGGGTACATTGTGGCCAGCGGAAAGTCCGTGCTACAAGTGACAGCACGAGATAATTGGGTCTAGTCGAGGAAGCGAGGGGAAGCCCGAGCTAGACTCGTGGTCAGTGGATCATCAGAAGTCAGAGAAGACAGCATTTTCTGAGAGTAGTTTTGATATTGCGCGAAGTACTAGTGTTTGAACATGTTGCGTGCGAGAGAAGTATAATTAATTGTGGAAACATGTGGAACAAATGTGACCGAATAAACTGACAGCATGTACCAAGAAGCTGAGCGGCGTTTGTGTTGTCAACCCTAGACGTTAAAGCAGTGCAAGTTTTGTAGCAGTAAACATGCAGAGAGTGAGCCGTGGCGAAAGTCATTATGTAGTGAGCCAAGGTACATTTCAAGTCAAGCCAAGGTTTATTACAGTTGTATAACAGAAGGTCTGGCCAACACTCAACACTCAGAGGATTGGCAAAACCGACATATAATCAAAGCCACTGGTACAATCGGATTTGGGAGTTTTTGACTGGCTGCTGAAGATAGAGATAGAGCGCTTATGAGAATGTCCCGAATGCTGTGATGCCGGTTCTTGAAAAGCAGCTCCCTTGATGTTTTTACTCATTGGGCATGACCCAGCTTTCATCGGTGGACAGCAGGTATGCTCAACCGCCCGAGAGATCTGACATGTCGCCGACCCTTTAATTATTCAAATGCAAAAGAATTATTGGGGAGAGGGGAAGAAGCAAAAGACCTTTTACCATGCCTTTCAGGCGTATTGAAAATATAGGGCAAGACCTATATTTTATAGACCAAAACGGCACCCTGTAGGTGATGCGCTCAGCAGCACACCGGCCGCCTTTACTTCCCAGGACTGTACATGGTACCCATTTAAGACTGACTTGGTCGATAAGGGAGCTAAGGTCATTTTTGAAAAAAATCAGATCCTTTTCGGGACCGAACCCACAACTTTCCGTTCCACAGCCGGGCGTCTAGCCACTAGACCGTGGCTGTTGCTGTGAAAGAATCATTGACGGTTATATTTTTAATATTGCTCGTCCATGTTGCTAAGACTGAAGACGTATAAGTCGGTCACAAACACATTGGAGATGTAAAAAATATTAATATCCAACACACACATAAAGTTCGCTGAGAGATCCAGCGGGGGAACGCGTTGCCATCATGAGTTTGAGTAGGTAAATGATGCGATGAAAACTGATACGATACATGACCATCTGGTCTTCAAATACTAAGGCAGCCGTGCTCTACCATAGCGAAAGCTTCCTGAATAAAACATTTCCCCATCAATGCAAATGCTAAGCTTGCTGACCTCAAACTTCCCCCTATAGTGCCAAATGTTTCGTTCAAACTTTGCAGTCACTGCTTTTCTCTCCCCCCCCCCCCCCCCCCCCCCCCCCCCTTTTACACACACACTTTGTGTGTCTACGGTCAGAAATACTGCAACTGGTATCATCCATGAGCAACTCTGCTGTAAAGTCTATTGCAGAAGCACAGATCAACAGGCTGTATCCACGCCATTGTTGGATTGGAGTTTTGTTATGTGTCCATTCGTGTGTATCAACGTTATTTCTGTTTTTTACGTTGAAATAGGACAGGCTCGTTGGGCAGGAAGTTAACAGGGTGTTGACGTGGCCTGGCTAAACATTCATACAAAGTTCGTATGGAACAAGACTGGGACACGAAGGTATGAGGGAAAAGATAACTCACACGTGAATACGTGTCGGTGCTCCC